CTTCGATCATCAGACTCGTAGACTTCTTCAATGTTGAGCGGCTCGACACCCAGTGCCCAATTGGTAATGTCACTTGGTGTTAGTTCGCTGTAGATGTAGCCGTCTCGAACATTCGTACCATCAACTGCTGCATGAAACACACGCTCTTCGATCATCGTACAGACCTCTTCCATGGTCAAGTGCGACTCGTTGTAGTCCAGCTTGCGCTGGCTTGGCCTCGGGATCCTGCTGGACTTGCGAACAGGATTCTTTGCCTTCTCTGGACGTGGGTCTCCTCGAAGCCGGGCTTCCAGACGAGCGACTCCCACTGGTTGCGAGCTCCCACTCGTTGGTTGATCTGGTGTTTCCACCTCGCTGCGCGCTCCGCTCGGTGTCGGCGCCATTGCCACGTCCTCCTCACCGGGTGTCGGCATCATGGGCACATCTTGTTTTTCTTCTTCAACTGTCTCGAGACGCATTGAAGGCGTGCTTCTCGCCGCATCCAGCTGCAAGAGATCCAACTGCGAGCTTATCGTGATCTCATCTCCATCTTCGGCAGGAAGGAACTGGTCTTCGTAGAACACAACGGTGCGCGCCGTGATTGTTTCACCAGCCCCATGGTGTGGAATGTACACCAAATACGCACCACCAGTAGCATACCCGATGAAGATACCGTTGCGTGTCTTGGAGTCCAGCTTCTTGCGGTGTTCCTTCGGCACCAGTACTTGCACCTTGCATCCAAAGACTCGCAAGTTGCTGATGTCGGGAGCTTTCCCAAACAAGGCCTCCATCGGTGTTTTCCCATCAAGCACCTTCGTTGGACAGCGATTCCGCACATACCCAGCGCACACGACTGCGTCAGCCCAGTACACATTTGGCAGGTTGGCTCCAAGCATCATGGACCGAGCCATCTCGACAATTACGCGATTGCCACGCTCGACCTTCCCATTCTGCTGTGGACTGTACGGAGTCGAAAACTCCTGTACAATGTCGTTCTTCTCACAATAGGCAGCAAACACACCACCTGTGTACTCTGCAGCGTTGTCTGACTTGATGAACTCCACACGATACGTCGGAGCATACGCCTTCATCTTCGCGATGCAGTCCTGGATAGCATCCAGTTGAGCTTGAGAGCTCTTCTCACGAAGTGGATACACCATGTCCAGATGAAATGGCTCCACAACAACGTTCGCCATGCCAGTAAAACCTTCACGAGACGTGACCTGCATTGGCCCCACGTAGTCAATTGCGAGCAGGATCTGGTTTTTCTTAAGGACGCGCTTGTCCTTCGCGGCAAATGGCTTCTGTGACAGCTTGCCACTCATGCACGTTGGGCATGCTT